TTGATGCTTCCAGTGTTGCTTCATTTCACTTCAGGGTACATATTGAAGATACTTGTGCTCAGTTTTCTGACATTTATTCTATGCAAGTCTCATGGCTACATTCATTAAAACTAATTCAGTATTTAAGTGGAAATGCTATGAATCATTGCTGGTTTTATGGAACTGTTGAAAGCAAATGAAATATATGCATTTAATGATCTTTTCTTTACCAAAGATCATTTTCAGGGTTGTGGAAGAGTTCTTCTAAGATTTACTGTACTTTTAACTAACTCCAAGATTTTCTTGAGACAGAAACCATGACTACCAAATATACAATAATAAGTATTATTATTATTTGTTTTGGGGACAAGGTCTTGCTCTGTGGCCAAGGCTGAGAGTGGTGGCTCAAGCCTATAATCCCAATGCTTTGGGAGGCTGAGGTGGGAGGGTCATGTAGTGGCATGATCATAGCTCACTGCAACCTTGACTTCCTGGGCTCAAGTGATCCTCCCACTCCAGCCTCCTGAGTAGCTAGGACCACAGACTTGTGCCACCACACTGAGCTAATTTAAAAAAAAATTTTTTTTGTAAAGACAGCCTCTCTCTATGTTGCCCAGGCTGTTCTTGAACTCCTGGGCTCAGTGATCCACCCACCTTGAACTCCCAAAGTGCTGGGATTACAGGCATGAGTCACTACTCTCAACCCAAGTATTCAATAATTAAAAATTTAAAAGTCAGTATTTCCTCACCAATATCACACTACATATAAATGGGCTAAATTTGAATATCCAGGGAAAAGAAACCTCATTTGTGACCTAGCCAGACAAATATAAGCATTTCAAATTAAATATTTTCATAATGGTGACAAATAATTACAATTTACATACTTTTGTCACAAGAATCAACATACAGAGGTTTTAATTATAATATACAGCATTATGTAAATTGGCTATATTTCAAGAAAAATTTGAAGAATACTTAGTTGATATTGAGAAATTTAGAGTGGCTTTTGAATTTATGCAATATCATTTTTGAATTTATGTTAATGGTACCAAACTGACACAAGTTGGCAAATGTACTTAACTTGAATAGGTGTAGTTTTGCAACTGATATGCTCTTGCTTCAAAGTCAAATCACTTTTTCTAAAAGAAATAAACTATTTTTGTCAATGTGGTTGCAAACATTAAAGGACAATATTTTTTGGTACTCAGTTCAGTTATTGGAAAACTAAGCTTGGAACAAGTTGGATATGTGAGTCTACTTTTTTAGCTGTGATGACCAGGAGGATCATTAACCACCATTAAATAGCTAAGTCCTGTTGTTGCTCCCCTGGATTGGGACATGTTACCTGGAGCTGAGCTCATGAATATGCCCTAAGTAGTCCTTTCACACGTCCACACTTATGAGTGCTCTGCAGTAGCACCATCCACCTCTTTAGGGTGCACCTCACATACCTACACCCAAAGTGAATTTTGTGTGGCCATTTAAGTACAGCTAGACTGGCTCCTCCCTCACCAACTCCTACCACCCTGCTCCCAACCTACCTCCCCATCTCAACTGCCTCACCTCCCCTGCAATAGGCCTGATGCACCTTTCCCCCCAGCCCCCACCAAAGTCAGGATGAGTTTCCTGCTTTGCTCAGCTCAAGTCCCACCTTGTCCTGGAAGATTTCTCTCCTCACCCATCCTCAGGACGTCCCCCAGCATGGGTCTGTGGAGGCCAAGGGAAAACTTCCCCTTTGCCTTCTGAAGGTTCACTGAAAAATCAGTTGATGAAAGGCAGATTAATAGAATAAATTAATTTATTTATATTTTAGAGACAAGGAACCATTTGATCTTTGACAAACCTGACAAAGACAAGAAGTGGGGAAAGGATTCCCTATTTAATAAATGGTGCTGGGAAAACTGGCTAGCCATATGTAGAAAGGCTGAAACTTGGATCCTCCTCCTTACACACCTTGATACTAATAATTAATTCAAGATGGATTGAAGACTTAAACGGAGACCTAAACCATAAAAACCCTGAAGAAGAACCGTAGGCACATACCATTCAGCGACATAGGCATGGGCAAGGACTTCCATGTCTAACACCAAAAGGCATATGGCAGACAAAAGCCAAAGATTGTCACAAGATGGGAGATCTAATGTGAAAGGAGCTTTGCTGCACACGCATAAAGAAATCCACCTCCAGACATGGACAGGCGAACCTACGAGAATGGGAGAGAAAGTTTTGCAATTCTACCCAATCTGGACAAAGGGCTAATTCCAGAATTCTACTGCAAAGAATCTTGTAAATCCAAATTTGACAAGAAAGGAATTCAAAACAACCCTATCCAAAAGGTGTGCGAGATGGAGATATGAACAGCAGCACTTGCTCAAAAGACATTTATGCAGTCAACAGGAGAAAGAGCGTCAGCTCGCCATCAGAGATATGCAAAATCAAAACCCCGAATGAGGGATACATCTCACACCAGTATAGAATGGCAATCAGTAAAAAAGTCAGAAACAGGTGCTGGACGAGCGGATTGTGGGAGAAGCGAACAGCTTTTTACACTGTGGTGGGATTGTAAAACTAGGTTCAACCATGTTGTGAGACCAAGTGTGATGGTATTCCTCAAGGATCTAGGAACGTGCAGAAAGTTACCATTTGATCCCAGGCCCAGTAGCCCACGCTGACTGGTACTTATACCCAAAGGTATGATCAAATCATTGCTGCTACTAGAACACACATGGGACACGTATGTTCTTTGTGGCACGTGATTCACAATGTAGCAAGAAGACTGGAACCAACAAATGTCCATCAATGGATAGATCTGGATTCGGAATGTGACACATATTCAGCCATGGGCACATACTATGAGTATAAAAAGGCAATGAATTCAGGTGTCGCTTTGTGGACCCATGGATGGAAGCTGGAAACCTATCTTCTCAGGCAAACCATGTGGAAGGACAGGGAAAAGCCAGACCACACATCGTTCTCACTTCCATAGGTGGGAATTGCAACGCAATGAGGATCCACGTTGGACACAGGACAGGGACATATACACACCGGGGCCTGTTGTGGGGTTGGGGAGTGGGGAGGGATAGCATTAGGAGATAATACCTAATGTAAATGACAAGTTAATGGGTGCAGCACACCAACATGGCACATGTATACATATGTAACAAACCTGCATGTTGTGCACATGTACCTTAGAACTTAAAGTATAATAATAATTTTTAAAAATAGATTTTAGAGACAAGGTCTTGCTCTATCCAGATAGGCTGAAGTACAGTTTCGCAATCATAGCTCACTGCACCTTCGAACTCCTGGGCTCAAGCAATCCTCCTGCCTCAGCTTTAACAGGAAATGTTTATTAACATGCATGAGAGAGAACCACAGAGTGATTACCCCAACTCCTCAATGGGATACAGAAGCTTATCCACCATTTGAGTTTACACATATATGGGGGCTCAGATAGTGGCAAGACAGGTTATGGAAGGGAGGGAAGAGGAGGCCTGGTTGGCAAAGGGAGTCTTGTTAGGCAGATGACACCTCACAGGTAACAGCTCTCAGAAGGAATACAGGGTAAATGTTTGTTTCAGACCTGTAAAGGTTGTCAGCCTCTCAGTTAATCTTTCCTACATCCAGACAAGAGAGGGCCTCGCAGAAAGCCTGGCTACATCAATGTAGATTTCCTCTACAGATGCAAATCTCTCCACAAAAGACAGCTTTTTCGTTATTCTTCTCTTTCCAGCCATTCTGAACAGCCACCTTGGGTCAAATAAGTGTTTTTTTGGTGTGAAATATTTTGGTTTCCTTCAAGTTCTTGGGCTGGGAAACATCTTTGGGTGCATCTTTTCTCTCTAACCCCATCTAAAGCTTTCAGGGAAGGCAGATCCCATCTCTTTCTGCTTAAGGAGGTCTGAGTAGCTCAAACTGGGGAGTGAACTGCCCTAAGTAGTGGTGGGATTTCACGCACCCGGAAGTGGTTAATGGAAGTCGAGTTTCTTTCTGGTGCCCCCAGAGCACACTGTTAAGGAAGCTTTCAGCTCTAAGTGGAGAACCCTGGCCAGGGGTGCATAAGTAGGGGACAAAAGCCTTGTGTCCCCTACTAGACATCAGTTGCTTTTCATGTTTCCTCATTTAATCCTCAAAACAACTCCTTAAGACAGTTTCTGATCCCCATCTTACAGATAAACAGAAGTTCAGAGAGCGCCATGAAGTTACATGAGATCCTCTACTTCAGGTGATCCCTGTGCTGTGGGAACCAGAGGCATGGTGGTGGTGGTTACTGACATGCAAAGTGCCAGAGCTTCTTCCTCCTTGCTCCAGCATACCCCGGAGTCCAGCCGGTATTTGGACAGTTTTCCTTGGGTTTCCTCTCACCTTATGAATTCCATCATGCTGTTCTGCCACACCGGAAGGCTCCTCCACTCCCCGTGAGAATCTACCCCACGGATAATGAGACACGAGGAATGGTCAGGAAAGGCAGATGCAGGATCCACACTGGACATCTTTGCTGTCGATCAAGGTTGCAGGCGCCAGAGTCCTCCCTAAAGGAGAGACCTTCCTTCTCAGTGTGGCTCAGGGAGTGGGAGGCGGGGACAGGGGTAGGGACCTCATCGAGGTCTCATTTGGTTTGAGGATGTCTGTATTTAGGGGAAGAAATCCCAGGATGAGTGTCTCAGGGACTCTGGGGAATGGTCCCCCGTAAAGGACCCAAGACAGGGCAGCCCTGCCTGGGCAGGAGTGGGGCACAGAAAGCCCCTGGGGGAGCAGAGCAGCGGAGAAGAGGCCCAGGCCCGCCGAGACCGCGGAATGCTCAGGCCGGAGCCAGAGGGAGGTGGGACCAAGGGCTGTGCGCCCGGGCTAGCCGGCTGGCCTGCAGCCGCGGCCGGGGTCAGGGTCATGAGGGCTGGACCGAGGGGAGGGAGAGGGGTGGGATGGGGAGGAAGGGCGCGGGACGGCATCCCGCCCCAGAGGCCGGTCCCACGGGGCAGGGGAGGAGCCGGAGTTGCTGGAGGGGGTCCAAGAGGTGGGAGGAGGTGGGGGCCACCCCGCGAGAAAAGCGGGAAGAGGCGGACAGCGAGGCCAAGATTTCAGCTGCGGGACGGTCAGGGGAGACCTCCAGGCGCAGGGAAAGACGTGAGGAGGGGAAGCGGGCTGGGGCGGCAGCCGGGCGGAGGGGCAGCTGCGCAGGCGGAATGACGAAAGCCTTTGGTCTAAGGCGACCACCCTGGCAGCTCTTCACTGAGGGGCCTCGGTTTCCACATCTGTCTCTTTCCGGTCCCAAGATCACCAGGACCGACGGGGCTCGCCGGGAGGGTCAGCCCCTCCGGTGGCCCCAGTCATGCATCAGGGGACTGCTCAGAAGGGCTGGGAGAGGGGTCATGGGGAAGGCCCTAGAAAAAAGAGGAAGGAGGGAAGATTTTGCTTGAAGCGGGAAAGCCAAGGGCTGGGCGGCGCGAGACGCCCATTCCTAGCGACTGGGGTGCGCTGGTGGCCCGAGGCAGCCCCCGCGCAGGAGGGTGAGGCCTTCCGCGGCTCCCACCCGTCAGGCCCTCCCAAGTGTTTAGATCCTCCCAAAAGTATTCGACCTCCGACCCCTGCCCCTCCCCCCGGCTTGCCTGGACCTCGGAGACTGGGGACCCCGTGGGAGCACGATGATTATGAACAGGGAGGGAGTCGCGGTCTGGGAGAAGGTTGAGCGGGGAAAGGAGAGAGGGGCTCCGGAGACGGCAGGGAGGAGAGGGGGTCGTGCCAGAGACCCAGGGAGAGGGAGAAAGGGCAAGATGAGGGGTGGAGGGTGGGAGTGGGAACTGACTGATTCCCGGCGTGGGCAGGGAACTTTGCTAAAACTGCAGGCCCCAGGGAACAGCGCGGGCAGGGTGGGAGGGAGCGGAGAGGACCAGGAAGACCCCAAGATCAATTTGGAGAAAGAGCCATTTCCAGGCTCCTTCACCTCTTCCCAGCGTTCTACAGGCCTGGCCCCCCGGGAGCAGAGCGCGGGAGGAGGCGGCTCGGGCTGGCTCGGAGAGCTGAGGGGCGCACACCCGCTTCGCAGGGCCGGAGTGACACGGAAGCATGCGACGGCTGCTGATCCCGCTGGCCCTGTGGCTGGGCGCGGTGGGCGTGGGCGTCGCCGAGCTCACGGAAGCCCAGCGCCGGGGCCTGCAGGTGGCCCTGGAGGAATTTCACAAGCACCCGCCCGTGCAATGGGCCTTCCAGGAGACCGGTGTGGACAGCGCCGTGGACACGGTGAGTAGCGTGGCCCTGGAGGGAGCAGGGAGGCTCACATCCCGGGAGACCAGCGCATTCCCAGGAAGCGAGACAGAAGTGCTTGGGCTCTGAGCCCCACCCTTTGGAGAAAAGGCCCCAGTCCAACCTGCTGGGATGTGACTGCGTGAGGGAGGCGCGGGTCACACCAGGGCTTGCTCTGCACGCTCAGCTGGTTACCGGCCATCCTCTGCCTGCCTGTCTGCAGCACTTCCCAGCTGGAATATTTGTGAGGCTGGAATTTAAGCTCCAGCAGACAAGCTGCCGGAAGAGGGACTGGAAGAAACCCGAGTGCAAAGTCAGGCCCAATGGGGTGAGTGATGGGGTGTGAGAGCAATGGGCGCATGCTGGGTGTGAGTTCATGGACTTGGGGTTTGGCGTATGGGGCACATGCCTGGGTGTGCCTGCATGGAATTGGGAGGTCTATTAAGAAGCCCTGAGGTTAGAGACCCCACTGTGAGGAACCTCCTTAGAGGTGGAGCAGCTCAGCCTGAGCCCAAGGTTGTGAGGGTGGTTGGTGGGGAGCTGGGGCCTGGCAGACAGGAAGAGGGTTTGGTTACCCCTGGACTTATCTTCATCAGAGCAGGGCTCACTTCTGTCTGAGTTCCTCTCAAGCTTCAGGGCCTGGGTGGAAGGAGCTCGCTGTGTGGATGTGTCTGGTGCCCTCCTAGCCTAGCAGGGCTCCAGTCATCAGCCACGGTGGGGGCAAACCCTCCACCATGGGGGTGATGCCTGGGATGGGAGTGCAGTGACTGTTCTAGTTCCCACTCTGTGAGTACTGCCTGGGCTCTGTATTACAGGTTCTGTAAAGGCTCCAGTTCCCTCTGTCGGCTCAAGGAGGGCACTGGATTATAGCAATGATTCACCAACCTCAAATCAAATCTTACAAGAAAATGTAGTAAACAGAATAGGTGACAGCTGAGCCACTCTGGAGGCGCTGGGTGGGAAGAACCCATCAGAGGAGGATTCTTGCCTTCACACGAGCACAAGTAGATACGTCCATGCATACATCACACACCCATCCACCCACACTCCTGCATACAAACCACATACATGCGTGTTCATGCATGTGCCACACAACCCATCTGGGAAGGACTCCTGCCTGCACACACACGAAAGTTCCACAGTTTGAAAACTGCATGAGTCTGACTTCCGACATTCTAGGGTGGGCTGTGCCTAAAACCTGCTGGCCTGCATGACCTCCTGCTCCTGGGCTCGAGGGCCTAGCTGGGAATCTGGTCCCATAATGGGCAGCACTGGCTCCCACCCTCATGATGCCCAGGCCTCCCTCACCCCTTTCCTCTGCTCACCCCATGCTCCCTCCCTCCCCCACAGAGGAAACGGAAATGCCTGGCCTGCATCAAACTGGGCTCTGAGGGCAAAGTTCTGGGCCGGATGGTCCACTGTCCCATAGACACACAGGTTCTGCGGGTAAGAAGGGGCAAAGGTGCAGAGGTGGGGACAGGGCTGGGAAGATGGATGGAAGCTGAGCCTATGGGCCAGTCCCCAGGCAGAAGCTTGGCCAAGGGGGAGGGAGAGTGGGGGCTAGAAAGCGCTATGCCTGGTTTGGACGTTCTCCAGGGGACGTGCAGGTGGGCCCTGCCCAGGATGCTGGCAGCCCTCCACTGGCACGGCCTTCCCCTCTCCCGGGCACTGCCTGCCCCTCCTATACTGCCTGAACAGTTGTGGGTCCTGGCAGGAGCCTGAGGAGCACCAGGAGACCCAGTGCATCAGGGTGCAGCGGGCTGGTGAGGACCCCCACAGCTTCTACTTCCCTGGACAGTTTGCCTTCTCCAAGGCCCTGCCCCACAGCTGAGCCAGCACTGGTAGGCACCAGGGGACAGAGAGCACCGTCTGGATGGGGCCAACCCTGGGAATGCTGAGGGGCTGGGCTGGGCTTTGGGAGCCTGGGAGGGGACAGGTCAGGAGCCTAGGAGGAAAGCTGGAACTGGGGCCGAAGCAACCTCCCTCACTCCCAAACCTGTTTCCCTTTTGTCTAGAGCTGCATGGTGCCTCTGGGACCGCTGTCGGTGGTAACCAGTGGAAGACCCCAGACCCCCAGGAGAGGACCCCGTTCTATCCCCGGCCATGATAATAAAGCTGCTCTCCCAGCTGCCTCTCAGCTCCTTGTGTTGCATGCCTTCCTCCTCAACATAGCTCAGAGGCGGCCAAAGAAGGCAGGGGGACAGCACCCTTCCTGTGGGCAGGGTTGCAGAGCCTCCTGTGCTCCAGAGCCAGAAGTGCCCCCATGAAATGCCAGGCAGGGATGCAAATGAAACAGAAGCATTTAATAGATGTGTGGACGAGAAAGGGCAGAGAAGGTGCCAGGGCGGGACAGGAAGGAGTACAGTAGCAGTCTGGAGAGGCACATTTGCAAGGCAGGGGAGTCCCGCTTCTGCTTCCAGGAGTGCTCTGGGCCACTCAGCCTGCCAACTCTCTCCCAGCAGCTGGGAGGAGAGGCTGGCCCATCCCTACCTTTCTCGCCTGTAGCCTCAGGAGGAAGTAATTCCTTCCACCAAGTCGCAGGCTGGAGCAGCCCGGAGTGGTAGCAGCTGCGGACACAGGCGCACGGGTGGTGAGAGCCTTTACACCTGCTCAAGGCCCTTCAGTGCCTCCTTGCAGCATGTGGAGGGATCATGGGGAGGGGCAGCTCTCAGGATAGGGATAAAGCAATAGCCCAGCACGCAGGGCCAGTAACCAGGGTGAAGCAACCAAGACGAGTGTGGGGGCAGGGAGGGGAGCTGGGGGCAGGGAGGGGAGCTGGGTGCAGAGAGGCCACCCGCCAGGCTGTCCTGGGCCATGGGCCACGTTCAGAAGACGAAGGAAGAGGTGGGGCCCGCAGAGCTGAGTGCCTGCTCCGCCTGGGCCAGGCTGTCGCTGGCCTGGCGTTCCAGGTCCCAGCACTCCTGCAGTGTGTCCTGGAACTGCCGGCAGGCCTCCTCCAGGATGGAGCTGCTCCGGCTGGGCCAGGACTCCCAGTAGCCTGGCTCCACCCAGGGCTGGGCCTCGGTGGCTCTGGGGCCGGGACTGGAGCTGGGACGCAAGGAGCTGTCCAGGTCTCGGCACAGCTGGTAGAACTCACTACCGCGCCCAATCACACGCTCACCATCGATGACTTTCAGGCCAGGCAGCAGCTCCCGGACTGCAGCCCGGTAGGAGGGGCTGGCACAGAGCGGGTTGCTGAGCCGGGCCAAAGGGTCTCGGAGCCGCAGGTACTCCAGGCACGGTAGCCCAGCCAGACACTGCAGCTGGCCCAGGGTGGCCAGTAGGTTGCCTGCGGCATTGAGACTCTGCAAGTTCTCACAGGCGGCCAGCGGCTCCAAGCCCGTCAGCTGATTGTTGGAGACATTGAGCACGGCCAGCTGGCGCAAGGAGGCCAGCGGGCCCAGGTGGGTGAGCGCGTTGCCTGACAGGTCCAGCCACTCCAGGCCCAGGCACTCTCCCAGGCAGCCCAGGTCGGCCAGTCCCAAGCCACGCAGCTTCAGCAGCAGGATGGACTCCAGGGAGAACTCGCCTGTGCGCAACTTCAGCAGCTGGGGTGTGATCTGCAGCCCGCCAGCCTCTCCCGGCTTCTCCCCTGGAGGCTCCATGAGATGGAAGTCGGCTGGGATGGCCTGGGCCCTGGCAGGACTGTCACGGGGTTCCACTGGGGGTCAGCTGGTGCTTGCCCCGAAGCAGGCACCTTCCGCTCTCCCCAGGCCAGTGCCAGGAGGCCTGGTTCCAATTCCCTGCACGAAGCCAGCCAGTCCCTGAGGAGAGACAGTCAGTCAGCAGGCAGCACTTTCTGTGTCTTATGCAGCAGGTGACGGCAGGGAGTCTGACCCTGCTTTTACCATGAAAACCAACAATCTCAGCCAGGCAAGACCTAAAGACCAAGCTGGGACACTGCCCACAAAAACCATCTGAGTGACAGGGATGGGGTGCAGGCCCAACCCAATGGGAGCAGCCCAGACTGGCCCCAGCTGCTTAGGGCCATGCTGGATGGATTCAGGCCCAATATTACCAGTTCTTTCTGTTAAATCCAAACTAGGGGCAAAACATCATTATTTTACTTTTTCAGTAACTACTCACGATCCATCCCTATTAATTTGGGGGTGTACTTTAAGCCATTATGTTTGAACAGGCAATAGGTAACCACCATCACCAGTTTGTTTTCTTTCTGGGATAATCAATATATATGCAACGCAAATGAGAGCACATGTGCCTTGTTTGATTCAGTCAGTATTACTGCAATTCTTTCTAACAGCAATGAATTCAAACTTGTTTCCAGATTATATGAGTCAACTGGTGCCTCTGGTTGGAGATGTAAAGCATAAGAAGTTGGCCTTTAGTCCTAAAGGAGGAAACTGAGGTCAAGGTAGCGAAGGGTCAGGGAAGGCTGGGGTAAGTGACCCGGCTAGGTCCCACACCCTTGCTCCTACCACTTCACTGCCCGCCAAAGCTAGCTCTTTTACTCTGGCCTCCGCTGGACAGATCAATGGAACAGCACTGGTATATGTGCCAGACAGCATGGTGCCAGCTGCAAATACAACAAATTTCCCAAACGGCAGGCTGTCTTGGTGGGAGGGGAGGGTGGCTCCAAAAAGCCAGGATGGGCACATCAAATTGCCAGGGGCTGCAGGACCAGGTGAGTCCAGGTGCCAGTGCATGACTGTGGCACAAAGCAGGGGTGGCCTGGTGGAGGGACCGCAAGATTTAAGCAGGAAGGAAAATAACAGACCTCTTCCAAGCGCAGCTTTCCCAACCTGGCAGACTTTGGCCAGGTCCAGTCCCAGGAGTCTTACCCAGGCCGGCGGGGTGATGCCTGCCCTACAGATCTGATGCAGGGTGTCGGCGACTCCCGAGTCTGAGTTTACACATCAACACTTTACATTTTCCCCTCTCCAAGGAAACCAGGCCCAGAGCCTGGTCCACTTAGCTCCTCCCACACCATCAACAAAGATATTTACTATGTTCCCAACCAGGGAGCTAGGGAGGATGTAAACAGTCTTGCCATCCTTTTGTCCTCTCCACCCCGTCTGGGGAAGGGGAGTCCTTGTGCTTATGGCCCCCATTTCCTTATCTAGCTCCCTTCTAGTCTGCAACACTCCAGTTCATTCTCTTTTATTTATACCTCATTTCTTTCCAAAAGGAACTGGAAGCATCTGCCAAGAAGTGTGGATTCCCTCCACGGGAATGGAATCTTTTGGGGTTTGTAAACAGGGAGTGATGCAATCAACTTTGCATTTGATTAAAGCTGCTCTGGCCCCTAAGATGGGGGGTGCAGGAGGAGTACCAGGTACTAGAAACATGTCTGCTATGAAAACAAAAGATACAGGCCCTAAGGAGGGCAGGAAGCAATGAGGAGGAGGAGAAAGAGTCTAGGACAACTGGGGAATCTGGCTGGGTGACTGTATGCAAGGGGCTCCTTTTTTTTTTTTTTTTTTTTTTTTTTGAGACAGAGTTTCACTTTTGTTGCTGTGGCTGGAATGCAGTGGTGCAATGGCGTGATCTCAGCTCACCGCAACCTCCGCCTCCCGGGTTCAAGTGATTTTCCTGCCTCAGTCTCCCAAGTAGATGGGATTACAGGCATGTACCACCATGCCTGGCTAAATTTTGTATTTTTAGTAAAGATGGGGTTTCACCATGTTGGCCAGGCTGGTCTCGAACTCCCGACCTCAGGTGATCCCACCTGCCTCAGCCTCCCAAAGTGTTGGGATTACAGGCATGAGCCACCCCACCGGGACTGGGGCTCCCTTCTCAGGCATGTGAAATACAGGTGGGACAGGTTGGAGACAAGAAGACATCCAGCTACACAGCACTCAGCTTGAGTGAGTGTGGCATGGGGCTCAGGAGGCAGCTGGAGCTCCAGGCTGGAGGGATCCAGGCACCATCAGCAGGGAGATGGCAGCTGGCATCAAGGAAGGCATGCAGTGCACAGGGCCAACCATGCTGGGGACACAGAGCTCTCTAAGAACCCGCAGGCCTCTCTCCAGGAGCAGGCACCCCTCCCACCCACCCACCATTTCAGGAGTGAATGTGGAGGATGTCCTGTACACAACGAGCAGCAGAGGTGGAGGCTAACCTATGAGGCTGAATGAACGAGTCTGTGAAGGATTCTGCCAAGCAGCCAGAGGGAGGAGAACATGGAAGGCTTTTAAGGAGTGAGACCAACACTGCTAGGATGCCCCACTGGACTCAGATGAGATGAGGCTGGGGAGACAGCCACTGGATGAGCAGTCCTGGGCACAGGTGAGGCCAGAGTGGGACTGCAGAGGTTAAGGGAATGCCCTGAGGAACTGGGTCAGTGGCTTTTTAGATGGAGATGATGGCTCAGCAAAGGGAGAGACCAAAGACACAGGCAGACAGAGGCAGGCAACTGTGCATGCTCACACCAGGAACATGGTTTACAGAAGAGGAAACGGAGCAGAAAGACCCCACTGGGACACAAATCAGCCCTTCCCTGCTGCCCTCCAACACACAGCCCTGCACCAGTGTGGCCCCGTCCTGCCCTCACCACGATGCAGGCCGCCTGGGTCTTGGTGATGGGTTGTGCAAAACCCTCATTCTCTTGGGGATCAGTGACCTCCGCTGTGTTTCTGGTCCATCACCTGCACACTGCAAACAGGTAGCCCAGTAAGACCGAGAACCAGCTGGTGCCCACCTGTGCAGCCCCAACTAACATCAGGCTGCCCGCAGACATAAGGAGGATGGCTTCCCGCACATCCACCAGGTTCAGCACTCCTCCAGTGGGAGCCGTCCTTTTCCTAACTATGGAAATGAAGGGAACAGAGACCTCCTGGCCCAGCAAGAGAGTCTGGAAAGAGGACTGGTGACAAGGATGGCACTTGGGCCCTTTGAGGGAGGTTGACTGAGAACCAGGGAAGACAGTCCCAGGCCTTGGTGAGTATCTTCTACCTGGGAAATGATGCGCAAAGGGCAAAGCTAAGTCTAGGGGGAGGAATGCTTCAACCCAGAGCAGCCTGGGGTGGACTGGAGGCTCTAACGCTCTAGAAGAGGGGTTCCCAACCCTGGCATTACTGCCATCTGGGCAGGCTAAGCCTTGGTTGTGGAGGCTGTCCTGTGCATTGAAGGGTGCTGAGCAGCATCCCTGGCCTTTGTCCACTAGACACCAACAGAACCACTCCCCTTACCCCACTTGGAACAACTAAACACGCCTCCAGACATTGTCAATGTCCACTGGGGGACAAAACTGCCCCTCGATGAAAGTGAAGGTTCTAGAGCCCAAGCCCCCTGGTTTGGTGCCATCAAGCTCTCTCACCCTCTTCCTTTCACCCCCACCCAATCTTCTCACGTTCTTCTCCCGAGCCTCGCTGCCTCACCAGTCCTCTCCCGGAACATGAGCCCGCTCAGTGATGCCACACAGCAGAGCCACGATGCCACTTCCAAGAACAGTTCCGACTGCTCAAGGACGGAAGCACAGACACGCACGCTGCCTAAGGCAACCTGAGGATGCATCACATTCCCGGATCCTCCGCGCTCCGACATGTGAGTCAGGATCCTGCGAGTGAGGTGCAGGACACTGCAGGGAGAGGTCCAGCAAGCCCTGCCCCTCCTATCCAGATGCAATGGCATCAGAGCCAGGGGCAGTAGTAAGGCCGCTCCCCAAGACAAACCCGGCCTCCTATCACCTGTGAATGTGTCCCCAGCACTCCACTCCCACTCCTAGTGCTACAGGCAGTGGAGTGATCTAAGCAATCTGGAGGCCAGACTTTAATTCAAATCATACTATTCCAGTCATTAAAAATGTTTACAAAACTTTATTTAACAGGTGCAGTTATTATACTGTGAAAATGAAAATATCACATACTAAACAGTACCTAGGGTATGATCTCAATGTAAAAGAGGGAAAAATGTCAAACTATTGATAAAGGCTATCTCTGAATGAAAGGAGTATAGTTAATTTTTCCTGCTTCCTTACATTTTCAGTAATATCCAAATGTCAGAATGAATTGGTCATAGTGAAACAAAGGGCTGGCAACTCATCTGGGAGAGACAAGGGAACAGGTTCCTGGGGCTGCCAGCCAGTAAGGGGAGAGTCTGTCCCTTCACCTCCATGGCCAGTGACATGCTGCAAGTTAGGCCTGGAGCCTTCCCTGCCTCTTCCAACCTGCATCTCAGCAGCCACCCTACCCAGTGACCAGGAACCCTTAGGCTACCTGGATGCAAGTCTTGCAGGGTTGACGGGCCACCCCCTTCTTTCTTCTCCTGTCCAATCCCACTGGTTCCTGGATCCCAGGCCCTCAGCTCTGCCCTAAAGGAACTCTGAGCAATCCATGATGAGTGTGTGCTACACACATCCTTTCTCTCTTCCAAATAAGGAACTTCCCCTTTAAAAGTGGTCCACGACAAGCAGGGGCAAGGGTGATGGCGGGGGGGGGGGGTGTACAGCCGGCCGCTGGGAGCCCAGAAAAGCTACTGAGGCTGCTGTCACTGGAGGAAGAAACCCCAAGGTTTCCGGCAGTCTGGAAATAGACTATTGGTAAGAACACCATTTGAGGACTGGCATCTCAGCTCTCCTAGCTAGCTGGTCAGTCCCATCAGTTGGGTTCTCTGGCTACTCCGATACCCCCCAAAAGACTGGTGTGTGGGGTATGTGAGCACTCTGGAAATGGCTATTCTACCTTGGGATTTCCTTCTCCCTACACTGCAAGCCTCAGAAAGTGCTGCAATAGCTTACCCAGCCCCCAAGAGGCTGAGGACATATCCTACCTGCCAGCACACGCCCACTCCACATCCTTGGCCACTTTTTGAGAAAGCAAGCCTCTTAAGGGCATATATCCACTTCTCCACACAGACAAGGTGTATTCAAGGACCTTCACACCCACTTCTGTTTTAACAGAGCATCACATGTACAAAGCCACGTAGTACAAAATTCACAGTCACCTACGAAAAGAGTAAGCCTCTTCTCGGCACATACTGCTAGACACAAAGAAAGTAATGGGGAGATGGAAAATGACATCTCCCAGAAAAAAAAAAATATGGCAATCTGTCAAGTGAGAAACTGACCCTTTCTTACCAAATAGGTTTAAGATTCTGGCCATCAGCATGTGGCACCCAGGATGCAACACCCGGCTCTCTGCTTTGACCTACTACAGACAGGGGCTCTCTAGGAGTTCACGGGCAGGGTGAGCACTGGCACCTGCCATGTCTGCCATCCCACCCGGAGCGGACTGGAGGGCCTGTATCCCTTTGGCCAGGTCACCACTAGAGCAGATGAGAGGAGGCGGGGTGTAGTTGGGGAACTGCTCCAGGTTGGTCTTCAAGTATGCTCAATGGCCTCCACGTTGAGAAAAGAGTTTCGCTCTACAAGGGTGGGGCTGTTCAGGGAGGCAAACATGCTTTTAGAGAAGCCTCTTGTCGGGGGTAAGACAGATAGATGGTGGCCAGGCTTCTTGCTTCTTCTCCCAGGAAGCCAGGGGGTCATCCTGGGCTCCGACTGTCTCATTCTCCCAGATACGTCTTGACAATGACGCTGGCCCAGTGGCTCTTGGTGGACAGCGAGTCCCCACTCCTCTCGGAGGCCAGCAGCCCCACGCTCTCCAGCAAGCCCTTCTCCCTCTGGGCCAGCAGGAAGGCCCCAGAGCAGCCACTGCTCTGCAGAGGCTCCCCCGGCTCTTCCCCTCCACCCCGCAGCTCCTGGCTACCCTGGTGGGGTCCACGCACAGACCCCTGGGGCTTTGCAGGGGGCTGGGGGTTGGGGGCGGTCAAAGAGTATTCAGACACCCTAATCTCCTTCACCTTGTACACAAGGACTTGCTTCCAGTGGTCAATGTCAGCCCCCACAGGAAGGATGGCCTCAATCTTGCCCTTGAAGCAAGGGTCCAGCAAAGTGGCCAGCACAAACTCCTCGCGGCAGAAGAGCTCATTGAGCTGACAGTCGGTGCAGAGCTGCAGGGCCAACCCCTTAGCCAGCTGGATGGCTGCGCCCACCTCCCCGACACTTTGCTCCTGAAAGTGTCCGTGAACCTGCTCCAGGAAGATGTGCAGGGAGCGCAGCTGGGGCAGCACCTGGCTCAGAGAGGCCTGCACCACACTCGCCTCGCGGACCGCCATCTGGAAGGGCTGCAGGAGCTTGCTGAGGCTGTCTGCCAGGCTCCAGAATGTGGCCGACAAGGCGACACCAGCCTTCCCCAGCTGGTGCCTGCCCTTGTACTCTTGAAGGGGCTGCTGCTGCTCCACCAGCCACTCCAGCAGGTGGTAGGCTGAGACCCAGTGGACCAAGAGCTCCTCAAGAGGCTGGTGGGCTGGGAGGGCGTGCTGGCGCTGGAGCTGGGTGAGGAGCCCCCGGGCCTCCACAGAGCTTTAGAAATGGCTGCAGATAGCCCTGGCAGTGCCCAGGATGATCTGGACACTGTGATGGTGACACAGAAAGTTTCTTACCAGGGAGTCAAGGCAGTGGGTGAAACAATGGATATGGGTATAGCCCTCGCCCTTGGCCACCTGCTCCAGGCTGGGGCAGCCGCTCGATACCAGTAAGCCCGCCCGCAGGGAGCCACGGCCCAGCCACAGGCTGGCCTGCTCCAGCACCTCCAGCTGCCAGTCCTCTGCAGCTCCCTCCAGGGGCAGGCCTCGCACCCAGAGCACGGTTCCCAGCATCAGCCCTTCTACCCTCTTGGTGTGGGAAGCAGGGAGGCAAAGGAACTCCAACCAAGCTCTATCCAAATGCAAACGAGGGTGGCTGGGGGAAATCGCTCAGAAGCCTACGTGCTTTGTCTGAGGCACCACCCCTAGAACCTCCAGCTTTCAAAAGTGGCCTGGACAGGGAAGTTGTTTTCCTTTTTAAGAAGGACAGGTAATCATAATATTTCCCATGCTGGACTGAAATGATTAAGCAAGCATGAGACCAGATAATGGACTCAACCCACAGCTACTACCTTCTGAGGGAGGAAGTCCCTCATGGGCAGGCCGGGCTTTATTCACATCTTGTTTCCTCACAGCCCACTCTTGGGACAGGGTGCTGGGAACTGTCCCAAGCAATGGGTGGCGGAGACAGGCAGACAGGGTGGCCGAGGGCCACTGCAGACCTGCGGCTCCCACACTCACCCCAGGCAGACAGGGTGGCCGAGGGCCGCTGCAGACCTGCGGCTCCCACACTCACCCCACCCAGCTCCGGGCCAGTGTGATGGGACTGATTTGCTCCCTTGGATACTGCACCTCGGTCCCTGTCTCCCGGGTGCCCACAGCACTGGCTGTGTTACCGATATCTCCAGTGCATCTTAGCTTTTATTCCCCTTGATGTTGTTTGTGCTGCTGTCTATTCTAATCTCGGTCCCTTACTCCTTACTGTTCTCAGGTACCGAGCAACCTCAGGGATAAGTCAGCAGAAGCTCCAGGCCTGCATAGCAGGAATACTCCTGGTTGTTTTTCTAACCATGAAGAGCAACCAAATGGAAGACCCAGCCTATTGAACTGCATGTTTGCCAGAGACTTGCTTTTTCTGCCATAGTGTCCTCCTGAAACTCCCCCACCTTGAAAATGTCTCATAGGAGACTAGGGTTCAACTGGATTGCCCAAGACTTGATCTCTGGCTACTGGAAGACTGAAAATTAGACTAAGGTGCTGAGACACCCAGGGACACCAAGGTTAGGTGAGGGTTTCCTAATCCTAGGGCATGGGACTTGCTTCATACCCCAGATCCATCCTCCACTGGATTGGGCTAGGCCTACCATCCACAACAGGGGGGGTGTGTGTGTATTCATAAAAAACGTGACTTGGGAAGGCTAAATGTTAAGACCAGTGCCCCTGTACCCCTCCTGTGCTGTCCAGGGAAGGATATATGAAGCAAGGACTAAAATTCTTAACTTTTCCAAATTCTTGGGTTCAAGGAAGCCCCGTAAGGGAGGGCCTCTTCATGTGGTGTGCACAGCCGGCGTCCTGCCCTGCTGCAGCGCTGATTCAGTATCACGGTAACTAAGGAGAAAAGGGGGCCTCATTTACATCCTGTAGGATCACCACGAACCTCCCTTGCTAGGCTGAAATGGGACAAGTGTGATAGAACGTGTTTAGGGGTGCACATCTGATCCTGGGTTTGTTTTCTCCTGATGCTGCCCCCTCTAGTTCCTGTATTTGTCTGGACTTTGTAGCAGTTGGTGACTGCTAGGTGGCCTAGTTTGTGTAAATATACAAACATGGAGAAAGTTGGTCTTTCTCCATGTTCTTTTGGGGTTTTATTGTTTACAAACTTTTTTGTATTGAGAGAAAAATGGCCAAGGCATCTTTACAGAAAGTTCTGCACCAGGCAAAAAGGATGTAAAACATGAGTTTGGGGGACTCTCGTATTGAAGTAGGGATCTTGAACTATCCTTTCTTTGTGTTTCCCTTCCTCTATTTCCTATTTTGGACCAGATCTTCTGCCCTAAAAACTTGACTTCTATCCTACCTAGTTCTCCATCCACCTCCCCCAAAAGAAAACCTACATACCCACACAAGCATATATTGAATTCTTGGGCTGTCTCTGCAACTCTTAAATGATGTATGTGAACAACCTGAAGAAATTAGGAACCCTCCATCTCTTGTTCCCAACCTGAGTCAATGTGATTCACCCCAAACACTTAAGATACTGCTTTATTTGGATGGATCAAACCTACTTAATCTGTAATCTCAAAGGAGGGAGAAGCGACCAGGGGCTTCCACATAGAAGAGGGGTCAGGAAACCAGGCAAAGGAATATGAGTATATATCCAAGTCACTTGGGAATTTTGTGTAGGTGCAAGAAACCTTTTTTTTTTTTTTTTTTTTTGAGACCAGGTCTTGCTCTGTCGCCCAGACTGGAGTGGAGTGGCACAATCCTCTCAAGTAGCTGGAACTACAGGTGTACACCAACACGCCTGACTAATTCTTTCTATTTTTTTGTAGAGACAAGGTCTCACTATGTTGCCCAGGCTGGATTCCAACTCCTGGGCTCACGCCATCTTCCCTCCTTGGCCTCCTAAAGTGCTGGAACTATAGGGGTGAGCCACCACACCCGGCCCAGCGCAAGAACTTATGTCAAAGTGGCTATAAGATTGTTTAAAAGGAGACCGATGAATGTAACCCCATGTTTAATGCTAGAAACCAAAGCTTTATGTGAAATCTTGAATTTAGGGGCAGGGAGGGAGGGTAGAAAGGCCTGTACCTTCCCTAATCCCTGGCCCCTCATTCCTGAACTGCAGGAGACCAAGCCCCTTGGGTTTTGGTTACTCCATCTCTGGGATGCATCTATTGGATGACTGATTTTTCTGTACCAGGTACTTCCTTTCCCATTTCCTAATCACTTTGTAACACACATGCTGACCCTTTTCACTTCCCTTCTCCTTTCCCTGGAAAGATATAATGAATAAAGACTTTTTGGTACTGAAAGTCAAAAGAAAAAAAGAGATAAAAAAGATCTGACAATGAGTGATGTTAAACATTACTCACCAGGGTAATGTTTAAAAAGAGTCACCAGAGATGGCAGGGCTGCCTATATAACAGGTGACAAGACGGCTAAGAAGGCTCAAGCAAGACTCTGGACAGAAAGAGGAGCTCCTTCCAGCCAGAAGAGCCTCAGAAGGGTTAAGTGGCAACAGCTTCAAGTCCATCTCGCAAGAACTTTCAGCCACCAATAAATCCAAGAACTGAAGGCCTACTGCAGGGTGATGATTGTGGAGGGGCTAGGTAAAGCTGCAAAAGAAACACAGGCTGCTGTCCTGGGCCCACAACTGCTCTCGGATGTCACACTGGAGGGGACTTAACTCACACTTCATGACTGAGGAAACTGCAACCTCAGAGTGTGAACATCCAGGCCTCCACAGGCCGTCTGCAGAACAGGGTCACACTCCAAAATCTTTTTTTTTTTTAGACTGGGTCTTGCTCTGTCACCCAGGCTGGAGTGCAGTGGCATGATCTAGCTTGTTGCAACCTCTGCCTCCTGGGTTCAAGTAATCCTCGCAACCTCATCCTCCCAAGTAGCTGGGACTATAGATGTGCACCACCACACCCAGCTAATTTTTGTGTTTTTTGTAGGGACAGGATTTCACCATGTTGCCCAAGCTGGTCTTGAACTCCTGGGCTCAAGCGATTCCCTTGCCTCAGCCTCCCAAAGTACTGGGATTACAGGTGTGGGCCACTGCACCTAGCACACCCCAAAATCTTCATCTTAAGACCTATCCAGTTACCCCAGGACACCAATCTTGTTCTGTTTCCCAATTAGCTTTGTCTCATCATAAATGCTATACTCTGTTGATACTCTTGATTCACTCAATCATTTAATAGAAAGTCATCAAATGTCTACTATGAGCCAGCACTGTGCATTCAAGATATGAATAGAAGAGAGTAGTTGCCTGGCTGGCACTTGGGGCTCAGGATGAGATGACAACCTAGAAATGGGCTCATTACTAGACCAGCGGGAAAGCAGGGTACAGTGCTACGAGGCGGGGAGGGATCCCTGGGGGCCCCCAGGCTAACCTACTGAGAAATACTGTCTTGCAAGGGGTTGTTTACCTTAGGCTATTGCTTCACAATCTTCAATCCCCGCAGACCCATCAGGGAGATCTGGGATCTTGAGTCGTCACTGGTACAACAGTAACACCACCATGTTCTCTTCCACGGGAGTACTTCAGGACCACAGTGCAGCTGGCACTGTTGAGAGTCAACCTTCAATCCAAATGAATCTAAAATGTAAATTTTAAAAAGAAAGTCATTGACAAATTCCAGTACTTTATTACTAAGAAGTTATTTGTGGCTGGGTGTGGTGGCTCACGCCTGTAATCCTAGCACTTTGGGAAGCCAAGGTGGGTGGACTGCTTTGAACTCAGGAGGTTGAGACCAGCCTAGGCAACGTGGCAAAACCTTATCTCTACAAAAAAAAAAAAAAAAAAAAACACAAAAAATCAGCCAGCTGTGATGGCCCATGCCTGTGGTCCCAGCTTCTTGGCAGGCTGAGGCTGGAAGATGGCTTGAGCAGGGAAGTGGAGGTTGCAGTGAGACGTGATCGCACCACTGCACTCCAGCCTAAGCAACAGAGCCAGACCCTGTCTCAAAAAAAAGAAGTTACTTGTGACACACATCACCACAGCTGACAACACACTGGAGGTCTACAACCACAACAAGACAAGATTCCAAGGGCTTCTAAGCTGAGGCATGGCCTTTTGGGCTGCACGCCTGCCCACAGTCGATCATGTGGGCGGCAGTCAGGAAAGCGCCCTAGCCAGACCTCACAGGAAGCGGGCACATCCCTGGGAGGCAAAAGGGAAAGAGGGCCAGGCCGGGGTGATGGCAGGGCGGGGTGATGGCAGAGCGGGTGGAGGAGACTGTGGGGAGAGCTGTTCAGGAGGTGGCCCACGCCTAAGCCTTGAGTGGAAGAGGAGGAAACGATGGAGACAGACTCCATAGTGATCCTCTTTACTCATACAGGTCCATGTGGGCTATTTTGGGGCAAATCTTCAGGCAAGTTTCTAGAGAAACTGAGGGAAAACACCAGAGGGTGCTGCCCAGGTAATGCTGACGATACAGGGAGGTGAGAGGATGAGCAGATCTCAAAGGTGACTGAGAGGCAGAGGAGAGAGACAAAGAAAAACCAAAGTAAAGTGAAGTTAGGGAAACCAAGAAAAGACTTTCCAAAAGCAGTGGTCAACGGGGTCAAAGGTCCCTTCAGTGGGCGGTCCAGCAGGAAGTAGGGGAGAAGCAGGAACCAGGAATGCTGGAGGTGGGGGTGGGAGGGAAAAGGCTTGGCTGGGTCCCTAAACAGAGAGAAGATGCCCTGGGAAGAGCGGGGAGGCTAACTACACAGGGAAGAGAAGCTTCCTAGAGAAAGGGATCCAGGGCACAGGTGGTGGAAGGGATCGGCCTCAGAGACCAGGAAGAAATCTTATTTTTCCTGACAGAGGAAGTAGGACGGGTCTGGTGACAGGCAAGTCCTGGAGTGCAGTGCAGGAGGGAAGTGAGGCAGCTTATGCCTGAGAGCCAGGCGTGTTGACTGTTCAGGGGGAGCCGTACATCTGTAAAGGCAGCCAGCGGCTGGCTGAGTGATCTGGCTTAGCCAGGGCTGGGAAGCACCTCCGCACACTGGTTCAAGAAATTAGACACGTTCTTCTCGTTGGTCTTACCAAGCCTTTTCCCAAGTGCGTGCCCAGAAGGAAAGGGGCCACTCTTCTACTTCTCTTGTGCCTGCAAGAGAAGTAGAACCCCACCCTGGGCATTCCATGATTATGCCAGGCCTTTCTCACTCCTCACTCCGCCCAGGCCCTCCCGCCCCTCTGCTCTCAACTCCAGCACTGCGTGGGGGAGGGAGTGTCTACTCCACTCCCACCAGTGGGCCCTGCTGGGCCCACAAGTCTCATCTTCCTCCACAACATCTGTGAGAAGATTGAAAGGTGGTGAGAGAAAGGGATTGGAAGAGATGAACGTGTGAAAGGAAAAGAGGAGAGCAAGCCACTGTGTTTTGGGGTTTTGTCCCACATGCAAATTTGACTACTTACAAAGCCTAAGCGGCCGGGCGGCGGTGGCTCACGCCTGTAATCCCAGCACTTTGGGAGGCCGAGGTGGGCGGATCACGAGGTCAGGAGATCCAGACCATTCTGGCTAACACAGTGAAACCCCGTCTCTACTGAAAATACAAAAAAAAAAAAAAAAAAAATTAGCCGGGCGTGGTGGCGGACGCCTGTAGTCCCAGCTACTTGGGAAGCTGAGGCAGGAGAACGGTGTGAACCCGGAAGGCGGAGCTTGCAGTGAGCCGAGATCGCGCCACTGCACTCCAGCCTGGGCGACAGAGCGAGACTCAGTCTCAAAAAAAAAAAATCCTAAGCAAGATGTTTTGAATAATAATCATGCATCATTGAGGTTTCATACTGTGCAAAAAAAATGACACAAAGTGAGATGTGATTCAAACGACATGGCAGCACTCTGCTCTTGTCTGGAAGCTTAGGGCTTAACAATGGAGTCAGAGCATATCAGAGCCTCGTCTACACTATGGCAATAGTAACAACACCCGCCTCATGAGATTGTTAGGGTTAAACGAGTTAATATCATAGTATTTCAGGGCAGTTCTCTGCACAGAGGGAGCGATGGGTAAGCGCTGGCTGTTCCGGAAGATTCTGGCCTCGCCCAGTGTGTTTGGGAGCTGGGGCAAGGCTGGCCAAGGAGGTGGCCCCCGGCGCCGGCACGGTCCCGACAGCCGCCCCCTCCCCTGAACCTCTGCGGCCCAGTCTCCGCTTACCTGAGGGGTGGAGTCGGCAGCCCGCGGAGCCACTGGCCAAGCTGGGAAGTCCGGCGCAACTCCGCACCGCAGAGCCGGCGCCTCCTCGGCAGGTAAGAGCCGCAGCCCCGCCGCCAGCCGCTTACCGGCCCCTGACCCCTGGGCCCCTTGCCCACCACCCGACGGGTTGGCCAACGTGCTTCTCCAAGCGCCGCAGGCCTGAGCTCCTGAAACGCACCCAAGATCCTGGCCAAAGGCCGTAGTGGGCGCCCTGGATTCCGGGATGCACCAGGGGTTACTTCCGGGAACGCAGCTCGCGGGGGTCTCCGCGCGCACCCCCCGCCCCGCAGTTGGTACGTTCCTGCTGCCTGCGGCCCCTGAGTGCGCAGGCGTAGGAAGCGCCGCAGTGCGGCCGGAAGCGAAGGGGCCGTGAGGTTGACAGTTGGTAATCGTTTATCGGTGCGGCCTTAGAGAAAGGACCTCCAGGCCCTTATTCAATACATGTTGGTGGGTGGTCACATGTGCCAGTCTCCGGACAGATGGCGGCCTAAATTTCCTCCCGGACTCGGTGGCACCCAAGGACCCCTACACGCCGGCGCTGTGCGTGCCAGGCTGACCACCCCAGTGCGACCCGGGCCTCGTCCGCACGTGCAGACGGAAGGAGCCACAAAGACGATAAGAATCCAGGTTTCCCCGCGTGGAAGGCTCATCTGTCGGTTCAGGAAACCCATCCAGGGTGTCTCCTGGTGTCCCGATCCAGGCCCTAAGAGAGGGTTCTTGGATCTCATGCAAGAAAGAATTCAGGGCAAGCCCATAAAGTGAAAGCAAATTTATTAAGAAAGCAAAGAAATAAAAGAATGGCTACTTCATAGGCAGAGCAGCCCCAGGGCTACTCGTTACCCATTTTTGTGATTATTTCTTGATTATATGCTAAACAAGGGTTGGATTATTCATTAGTTTCAGAGAAAGGGGTGGGCAGTTCCCAGAACTGAGGGTTCCTCCTCTTTTTAAACCATATAGGGTATTTCGCGATGGTGTCATGGCATCTGTAAACTGTCATGGTGCTGGTAGGAGTGTCTTTTAGCAGCTAATGCGTTATAATTAGCGCATAATGAGCAGTGAGGACCACCAGAGGTCCCTCCCATTGCCACCTTGGTTTTGGTGGGGTTTAGCGGGCTTCTTTACTGCAACCTGTGTTATCAGCAAGGTCTTTATGACCTGTATCTTGTGCCAACCTTCTATCTCATCCTGTGACTTAGAATGCCTAACCTCCTATGAATGCAGCCCAGTTGAGCTCAGCCTCATTTTACTCAGCCCTTATTCAAGATGGAGTAATTTTGGTTTAAACACCTCTGACACTGGGGCAAATACCTGCTGCCTGATGACTCCCAGAAGTCCTAAACACCCAACCCAGAGAACACGTGGGCCTGCATCCACTCGGGTACTCTTCCACTCCTGCAGGCTACAAATTGTGCGGGAGCCAAAGAAGTCACGTTCTCTGGGCGAGCGCAAAATGCCTCTTTGTCCCATGTTGGTTCCACATGTGCACCAAATGAACAACTTTTGTCTCCCTGGCTACCTTGAATTTCTTTCCACCTCCTGAGTTGCACATATTCAAGGGGCTGTCCTGGGGGCAGGCTTCCCTAGTCTTCCCAGGCGCAACCTTAGCTTTTCCCATCTCTTTCAGATGACCCTCCTCCTGTCCCAAGCAAATTAACGCCAAGCCAGTCTAGTTCTCCAGCTTGGGCTACAGCTGGGACCCCTGCCCAAGAATAGTGATTTTTATCTTTACACTTTATCCAAGTAATTTGTTTTTATTTTTATTTTTTTTTAGATGGATTCTCACTCTCTTGCCCAGGCTGGAGTGCAGTGGTGTGATCTCAGCTCACTGCAACCTCCACTTCCTGGGTCCAAGCGATTCTCCTGCCTCAGCCTCCCAAGTAGCTAAGACTACAGGCATGAACCACCACACCTGGCTAATTTTTGTATTTTTAGTAGAGACAGGGTTTCACCATATTGGCCAGGGTGGTCTTGAACTCCTGACCTCAAGTGATCTGCCCGCCTTGGCCTCCCAAAGTGCTGGGATTACAGGTGTACGCCACCCTGCCCAGCCATACCCAAGTTATTTTTAATCTCACTTGATCTTCTGTATGCCTTAGAGATGGAAGTATTAGTTTCCTCCGTTATACAGATGAGAAAACTGAGACTCACACAGTGTGTTACAGTAGGAAATGGGACTAAAAGAAAAATTATTCAAACAATTGTTAAGGTGAGAGACTTTATTCAAGAACAGCTGCAATAGGGGCTATGCAGTAGAGGCAAAAAGATCAGGCTTAACATCAAATACAAGGACAGGTGGAGATTTATAGTTAAGCAACAGGGTGGAGGTCAGCAGATG